CACCAATTGATAAAATCAGAAGTACTGAATTCTGGAAGGAAATATATATATATATATATATTTATTTATTTATTTATATATATATTGTTTCCTTTACTTTTTTTGTTCATGGGAAAGGAATGCTCTAATATGACACTTAATGAAATGTATCATATCATGTTTTCTCCATTTATCGATGTAGAAATTGTCGATTAGGGTAAGTTGTTGAAAACCACACCCAGTCTGTCATTTTTTTTTTCTTCCTCGGGAGGTGGGTTAAAACGGTTTTTTAGCATTTCTTTTTTCTTGGTATTAATAAAATGAATTAATAGTGAATACTCCTTTCTGAATGTTGATAAAAACAAAAAATGTCGAAGATAAAGTGAAAAAAATTACTAAATATATTGTATTTCTCTGGCCTTTTTTTATGTATTCTAGAGAGATCAATTGTGGGGAATTTCGTATGAAATAAGTTATATTTTCTCTCGGCAATGCTGTTTTCGTATATCTGGTAGTGCTATTTGGTAGGGCTTTTTCCTGTTTTTTTGTTTCATTTTTTTCCCTCCCCCTGTCATTTTTCTTGAATTTTTTTCTGTGTTAGAAAGAGACCACATTCCAGATGTCAGATCATCAAACTCATACTGACTCTTCTAGTTTTTCTGACTCTGGAACCACAGGTGTTCCATCATCGGATCAACTCATTGCCTTTGATGTGAATTGCTTTATGATACACATTCTTGTGGAAGAGGTGCAAGCTACGTTCTTCGCATTGCGGGAGAAACAGTTCCCTTACATGGGATCTGTGTGTTCTAAGCGAATTCAGGATCGCATTCAGCAGCTACTGCCTGTCGAATATACTGTAGTGGTGGAGGGTGCATACGAACGCTCATGGGGTCTTTTCCTAGAAAGAGATGCCGGAATTCTCTGTTACCTTCATGAAAATTGTACAAGGGAAGCTGTGGGATGGATGATAGCCCCTGGTTCTCTAAGGTGCTTTTTGTCTACCGAAGAACTGCACCATGTGAAAGACGCCGACGAGCAGCTGGGATGTCTTGTGCGTGAAAAATGTACGAAGGAATTGGAGGGTGTTTGTCGAAATCTTCTGATGGAAGTTATGTTTACGACATGGCGCGGTGTAGACTTTTTGAATGGTTGCCAAACCGTGTTGGAGTTGTGCGATATTGGCAATCTCTCATTCTGGAAGTCGCTGCTGGAAATTATGTGGGTTCGCCCAAGGGAAGGCAGTAGTGTGCGTCTTCGCGATATTGAGCGTGGGTGTCAACAGCTTGCTTTCCACGTGCGTGTGCGCTGCAGATGGACGGAGCTGCTCGGCAACGCCCTTCTGGTGAAGTATGTGTACAAGAGTGTACTTCGCGTGCTGCTAAATGCGAATCCACCAGCGATGGAGCCGGGCGCTGGTTGCGTGCGTGAGGTGCCTGTGGGGTCGCTGCTGTTATGCAGGCATGGTTCAGCAGATGAGGTGATCGTGACCCTCACGGGAACAAATCGGTGGGGCCGAATTCCAAGTATCCCAGAAGATGTGGTTCGGCAAATTGAGTGATGCGGAAGAAAGACGAGAAACAGGTGAAAAGGAAAGGGATGGAAGAGTGCCAATCAGCAATGTTCTCGTCGTGTGTCACATCTTTTTTTTTCCCCCGTTGAATTATTTTGCTTGGATTTAGATCAACGAGTTCGGTGAATCTTACTTTTTTTTTCTTCCAGATGGTTCCCACCCACACCCCTGTATTTAAGGAAGGCGTGTGTGTGTCTGTAAAAGTGGAGGGGGGTGAGGTGGCGGGTCGCTGTTTCTCTTTCTTGTTGTTGTGTTGAGAAAAAAGAAAATATGGAGATGCCCTCGTGCATTTCACGAATAGGCTTCTCTTTAAAAGTGAGAAAAGAAATATTTCTCTTTGCTCCCGTTTGCTTCATTTATGGAAGGAACTCAGATAACTGAGTTAATCTTATTCTGAGATCTTTTTTTTTTTTTTTTTTTGAGAAAATCACTCTCTTTTTATTCTTTCTGTTTTAAAACGTCGTTTTCAATTGTTTTTCTATCTTATTTTCGATGCTTGTGCCGGGAATCAGTATTAGCTTTCTCTTCTTTGGAGAGGCGCAAGTAAGGTTTTTTTTTCTCATTGTTTGCTCTAAGGATTTTTTGTTTCTACCATATCTGACCGTTCTGTTTCTTCTTGTGTGAAGGCCGAGAAAGGAGCATTTGGTCTCTTCCTTGCTGGTAGAGGGGGGAAAAACACCCAGAGTTTGTGGATGAAAACTGTTTTTTTTTTTGTTTGTTTTGTTTTGAGGAACATTTTTTTTTTCTTTTTGGGGCAATTTGCTTTGAGAAATTTGAAACGTTTGTGGGTTTTCGATATGCTGTTATTTTATTTTATTTTTTTTTTGATCTGGAGCGGTAATATACGGTTCCATTTTGTTTCGTGCTCGTTGTTTTTCCACCACCGTATATATATCTTTTGGGTTGCATGGTTGCGATTACGAGGAATCTACATTTGCCAATGTCAATCGCTTTACTCCCCCTTCTTCCGATTCTGTGTTATTATTATTATTATTATTATTATTATTATTATTTACACGTTTATTAATGTATACCATGTCTGCTGTTTTTATTATTGTTGTTGTGCTCCTTCATTCTCTTTCCCCCTTTTTGCCTTTGCTCTTGTTGGTGGGGGAGATCACACAGCCGAGATCACACCGCTACGATGGAGCCGGACGACGTTGCTGAATACAGCCGGCGGGACTACTGGGAACGGCGCTACAACGCAGAGGAGGAGTACAATTGGTTCCCGTCCGTCCACAACGCCACCGTCGCGGCGATCTGCGACGAATTGATGGCGGCTTTTCAGCGGCGGGGTGGAGAGGGGCGACAGGTGTTGCGAGTGCTGCACTTGGGAACAGGGAACTCGTCACTGTGCATGGACTTGTACACCGCTGTGTGTGCGCGTGGGCTGCCGTTCACTCTAGAGCAGGTGGCAATGGATTACGCACCCAACGTCATTGAGAAGATGCGAGCAAAGTACACACCTGAGGTGTTGCCAAATGTACAGTGGGTGGTGGGTGACGTTCGCCGTCTTGAGGAGTTTCATGCGTTTGGTCCTTTTGATGCTGTTATTGACAAGGGCACAATGGATGCCCTTGAGGCAGATAAAAAAAGCGAAACATTAGAGGATGATGTGGAAGCTATGTTGCGTGGTGTAGATGCTCTTTTAGCACATGCGAAAGGGTATGGAGTATTTATGCAGATTACATGGGTTGTGCCATACATGCGACTGTATTACACGAAAGGCGATAGATTCATCTGGGGAGATCAGGTGCGCTACACACCGCTTGCTGATAGTGATATGTATCGACTCTTTGTGTACACCGTGAGAGAGTAGCGTTTCTATCTATCACTCACTTTGTTTGTGTCTGTGTATTGCCCTAAATTAAACCGATTAAAAAGGGGAGAAGAAGAAAAAGAAAAAAAGGTAAAACAGGAATGACTAACGTATATTTGTATCATACCCGAGTTTCATGTAGCTGTGTTAACTGTAGACGTACTGTTGCTAGGGGTATCTAATTCTTTCTGTACTATCACTGTTTCTTTTTTTTTTTCTCTTTTTTTTGGGTTCCCCCGGGTGTACAAGAGGACCTTTCCTTGTTGTTTTTCTTCTAATTTTTTTTTTTTTCTCTCCCTGTTTCTGCAAGGAAGAGGAAGAAAAACTGTATGTTAGTTTTGGCAATTCTGCCACGTCGCTTGTATGCGAGGAGTTGCTGCAATGCGGTTAATATCATGTGTAGATCCCATACATCAGTTGCTTGGTATTCAACCGGAAAGAAAGAGAAGAAAAGAACTTCGTCAAGAGACGCTCGTCGACGACACAGCAAAAGTAAAGATGAAAGCAGTACCAGTAGCACTACAAATATCACTGCATCAGCGGTGTCAGAAGAAGAAACTGCCAATGTACCACGTATGACAGTGGATCGCCCGACAATTGTTGCCAAACCGCGGCAACAAGGAGAAAAGATAACTATGGTTCTCCCATCATTACCGTCACCGTCACCGTCACCATCATTATCATTATCATCATCATCATCATCATCATCATCAGTGCATTGGTCGCCGACAGAACGAGATTACGAAGCTCTCGTAGCAGATCTTCTTCTTTACAGGTGTGAGTCGCTAGAGCCGGTGTTAGACGCCCTCAGAAAGGAGCGGGCATTGTTTGATGAGTCTATTAGAAGGATGGAGGAGCGTATCGCTGACATGTACCTTCTCCGAGAAGAGATTCGGGAAATGCTAAAAGAGGGTGCTGCAGAGCAACACCGAACGTTAACAAACGCACTTCAATCAGTTAGTGATTGTAATATAGAGAAGAAAGAGGGAAAAGTCGCATCTCCTCATGATGCTTCTGAAGAGGATGTAGACGTGGAGATATCTCTCTGAGAAAAAGAAAAGAAAAAAAAAACAAAAAAAAAGTAAAAGAAAACGAGAAAAGGTCTTGTTGACCATGTGAACAGAAGGTGCCTCTTGACGTATTCCATACTAATAGCGGTATCCCAACTAATGGGTATGCTTTCTTGTACCTCTTCTTCTTTTTTTAATATTACTCACTCATACACACATTCAAACACACCTCTATTATAACAATAACAACTACAACAACAATCAAAAACACGTGGGAAGGTACTGAAAGGGAGACAAGTTGAATTATGTATCCCTCTGCGCGTGAAGTGGAGGAGGTGGTACTGTCTACATTAAGGCGCGGTGACTGGCGGCGTGCGGTCAAGCTTCTCGCAGGGGCAGTGACACTTCCGTGTGTACCAACTACACGAACTTACGCTGAGGTTGTTGCGGCTGTCGCAAAGCATGGCACCTGGGAAGAGACAGTACGAGTGTGTGACCGATTACACAACAGTCCACTTTCTGCCCGTGCTCTTTACCGCACTGCAGCAGATGCGTTGCTCACAGATTATTCCGGTAACAACAATAGCAATAAGGCTGAATTCCTTCTTGCAATTGTTCTTGCCGCTCGACGTCGCCGAGTGCCATTAGCAACCTATCACCTTCATCATTGCAGTCGTATGTTGCAGGATGCCGGGAACTGGCGGGGAGCGCTTCTTGCAGGTTCCCAAGAACGTCTCGTTCAGCAAGCACCAGCCCTTGCGCATCCCATGATGCTCGCCGCAGCATCTGGTCGTCATTGGGAGTCTGGATCAAAAATCATGTCCTCTTTGCTTGCTTCTTGTACCGCCCCTAGTGGGACTATCACTGAAAATTTTATTCGTTGTTTTACTCCTGCAGCTCCATGGTGGCGTGCGCTGGCTGTCGCGTCTGTTCTCTCTTGCAGCAACGAACCGGGAGTCTTGCAGGTAGCATGCGAACTACGCAATGAAGTAAACCGTGGTGGAGGGCAGTCAAGTGTAAATGCTGAAGAGAAAAAACAACAAATACTGTTGCGTCTTGTAGAGGGACATCTGCAACCATGCGATCTTACAGTGGAAGAAGCAACAGATGTGTTTGCCTTGATGGGAGAGCAGCATTGGGTGAAAGCTTTAGATCTGTTGAGGCAGTATCCCGTGTTATTAACACACACTCCACACCTCCGTGTGTTGCTGCCGCCTTTAACACTACATCATAACAATATGCAGCGGCAGCAGTACAACTGGGAGGCTGTCTGGCATGCTATCACACACACACTCGCTAACGCTCCCATGGACGAAGTCCTTACGACCGCACGCTTCTTCTTTATATATCTCCACGGAGTGAAAGAAGAAGAAATGAAGCGGGCGGGGCGCACTGTATCGATGTTTATTAACGCAAGGCGTAAAGAAAATGCGGAGTCACTGGATCCAACTCTTCTGCAAGAATTCCTTTCTGAGGCATGTGCGTGCGGCTGCTGGGAAGCCGCACTCCTTGTCTCTAAGCGTCCCACTGCGGTATTCTCGGAACTCGCTGAGAGTGATCGCTGGGAAGCTGCCCTCACAGTGCACGCTGCGATGCAACCGAATGCTAGGGAGCGAGTTGCTCCACAATTGGAGCATTTATTCATTGCTAGGGGACTGTGGGAACCAGCTTTATTGTATGCACAATTGCGTCTGCCTGCTGACACGTTGACTATGCGTAGTTTGGCTGTTCCACTATGTGCAGCTCTTGGACAATGGTACCGTGTACTTCAGATGCTTCAACTCTGCGCTCCTAATCCTACAAAAGCAGAAAAATTACTGAAACACTACTGTATTCTGGAACACGGTGAAAACTTAATTCGTATAGCTTCAAAACGCAATGACTGGGTTGGTGTGTTACAGGCTTGGAAAAAGGTACAACGGGTATCAGATAACTTGAAGACAGTTTCTACGAAAGAGAATGAAAAAGAACCCCCACAGTTACGTATGTCTCCTCATGCCGTAATGCGCACAGCAAAACTCTTGCTTGATCATCAACGGTATGATGATTGTTGTATAGTGGTTTCTACTTTTACACCCAACGTTTCAGAACCTATTCTTCTTCGATGTCTTAGGCTTTTTCACTATATTCGTTTGTCTCCACTATCATACGGGCGTGTATTGCAGGAGTTCAGAGAGTTCAACACACCCTACAGAGTAGTGCTTGACTGTTACGCAGTTCTTGCTTTGACTGTAAGCAAAAACTATACAGGTGCCTTTTCAATACTTCTGCAACTGGTATCATGTCAAAATGAGGGAACAAGGGACACTGTTGTCAAGGCATTAGGTGAGGTTCCACACATAAAGAAAATGTTGCCATCTATCCTTTGTGAAATTGCAAAACCATCTCAAGCATCCGATTTAGAGAATGTTATGTTATTTCTCATTCCTTGTGTGGGATCGTTAGAAGATGTTGACCTATTCAACAAACCGTTAAAGACTTTCTGGATGAATGAGAACGATATACTTCGTAACTTGTCGCTTCGTGTGTCTGTAGAACTCTTACGGCATATGGTGTCGCGGGATTTACCCGTTCCCTTCGAGCTTATGCAAATCATTGCGGCTGGATTGGAGCATCCGGATGCTTTACCTACTGCCCTAATTTTGTATGAGTCTTTGCTACGGTGCAGTACAGTTACTACCCAAGAGAGTGATAATAAAACAAAATCGGGCACTCTCTTAGCATCAGAAGATGATATTGAGGCAATCTTTAAGCGTTGCATTCAGGTATTTATTTGCAAAGGTCAATGGAGTCATGCGCTTGCCGCGATGCAACACTGCAAGACCACCGATTCGGAAACACTCTTTCGAACGACAGTTCTTTTAAAAGAGGAAAGGGAACGTCGTGAGAGGTTGGCGTATCGTGTTATATTGGAAGCTACAAAAGAGAGTGAGGAGAGATGGTGTAAGATTCCACCTGGACAACAAATGGAGGACACTATTTTAACACTTACACAACTACACGCGTGGAAAAATGCCCTCACCCTGTTTAATGAGAGAGTGGAGCATCACCATTCCTCAGGTGAGACGAGAGGTTCTTGGGGGATGGTTGTTGGTGCTTTACTTTCTTGTGTCGCTACCTGTGGCCCCTGGGAAACTGCATTACATCTTGTAAAGACGGTGCGGCAAGATATTCAATTAGGGTCTGCCTCTATCGAAAAGGGTTTAACCGATGTGCTTCGCTCTGTTAAACGTCACAGTGGAGCCATCATGTGTAGCAGAGTTCTGCTCTATATGGTAGAAGAAATGGGTGTCATACCTACACCATCACAGTATGAAGTCCTTCTGCGTTCTTTTTTGTGGTCAAAATTAACTGCAGTGGAGAGGGATGTATGTGGAATGAATTTGAGGCGTCTCAGTCACTCCCTCAATGAAAAAGAAATTGTTGATCTGGTCGCTGCTATCACCACATCAGGGGCTTCCTGGAAGAATGAGGGAGACATTTCTTCTTTAGGGCGATGGATGAGTAACTCTCACCACTCTGGTAGTTCAACACCATGGATGCCTTTGGAACGGCCTTTGTTGTCTGATGAGGAACTTGATCAGCTATGCCATCTCGCACCTTTAATTGTTCTTGCCACTTCACGAATGTTAGAAAGTCTATCACGCCAGAGTTTTTCAGGGCGTTTCAGACCTTTTGAGCTAAAGCTTCTGCTTCAGCATTACCGCACAGAGGTGTTGTTGTGGGTTGACAAAATCGATAGTACTGAATTGGGTGTAGACACACAACTAGTTAAGCATTGTATGGAAAATCATTTGTTACACGTTTTACTTGTGCCTTACGAGCGTGAATGGCGACGATTGGTTTCCTCCAAAGGAAATGATACCATAGCAACATCATCTGCTGCAGTAGAAAGCTTCATGAAGAAGTTACGATGGGAGGTTTTCCACGGCTTCGTGTCGCATCAAACCGTGTCAGGGGTATGGGATGCATGTCATTCTTCTGTAGAAAAGCTGACGAAACAGCGGTGGCCGTGGTTATGCGAACATGAATTGCTACGTGAAGTTCAGCGACGCGGTGGAAAACCTCCATTGTCACTTCACACACGACCGAATGCATCGCGTTCTGAAATAGAGTCTTACTGGGCGACATACGGCCGTCTGCTATGGCCAGGGTTGTTCCTTAGTGGCCCGGAACTATGTCAGCTAGCGGTGTATGTCCCGCTTGTGGAGCCACTCCTTCGAGGGGCTCAAATGGAAGAAAAACTTATGGAACTTCTGGCAGACATTCACGTGACCCACTTCTCTTCTGAAGCCATACCTCGAGAAGAAGAACTACTTCGTCAACCGCGTTCACTTGATGTAATTCTTATTGTGTTTAAACTGGCCTTTAAGACGCTGAAGCGCTTGCATACCCAACTTGATATGGACGCTCGAGGTGGACGCCATTACTATTATTTCCACCCTGATACAGCATTGTGGCAGCGACATGAACAAAAATCAGATAACATGCACACAATCAAGCGATTGTCACGATGGTCACTTGCACTACGCATTCTGCACCACTACCGACGGTCCACGACAAACGCATTGCAACCGCGTACGTTGGCTGCCCTTGTTACCGCATGTGCAGCTGACTTTAACGACGACATGTATGAGTTTAAGAAACAGCAAGCGCAGAAAAAACTCTCTTGGTGGGAGCTGGCAATTAGGTGTGCTCATAGCGTAGAACCAACACTTAATCATTCACTCTGGTGTCACGTTATGCAGCTGGCGTCTTTACCTCAACAAAAGAAAGATGATATATCTATGATAAAAGGTGATTACCGAGTAGAGAATATACATGACACTTCTCTACAGGCCACTATGCGTGTAATGCTAGACCACATCAATAGGTCTGAAGGAAATATCCCCTTTGACATGTCGCTCTTGCTACTGGACCAGATGAAGGAGCTTCTCTGTGAGTCACTATCATCTGTTGATAAACCTCAGAGGGATGCTGATGGGGACGATGCTCTTGCAGTGTGGGTGATGTTGCAGACCCACCACTGTTTGGAAAAAATGGAACCACTCCATGCAATGTTGTTGAAACGGATTGTGCTTGAAAGAGACTCTGGTCGGGATATAATCTAAGTTAAGGGGTATCAGTGTAAGGTCCCAAGTCTTTATTTCTTGATTACCTTTTGTTTGCTTCTTTTTTTTTTCTGGGGAGAAACATTATGTGTTACTTTGGGTTTAATTATTTTTCCTTGTTTAACTATTGTTCTTATTGTTTTTTCTTCCCCTTCTTTTCTCTCTTTTTTTTTTTTTTTTTATTCTGTGTGCCTCACCCCTCATGTATTTTCTTCTGGGTGATCGTTAGAGAAGAAGAAAGAGGAAGTCAAGTTACACTTTCTTATTGTTCTTGTTTTTAGGGTTGTAATGATGCCAACACTACAACCACTCGAGTGTGACGTTATTGTGCCCAGCCGTTTCAGTGCTGTGCGACCGCGTACGTGGAATCTCGTGATGGACGATACCGGTCGTGCACTGGCCGAGCGCTACGGCAGTGACATGTCGTTCAATCAAATAACAGACGAAGCCGCTCTTCGCAATCGTGATCGCCGCATGCGTGAAGAAGTTTTGAGGCGACGATCTACTCTATCCCCAGGAATGAGAGAGGAGAGTCTTCACGATACTTACAGTGTTGCCAAACAAGATACAGGTGCGTCAACTGGGGTAGCGCAGTCGCAAGGGAAACAACAAGAAGGAGAGTCCCGAACGGCAGCATATTCCTTCCTCTCTGGACGTATCACCACGGCAGGAGAGTCTGAGACGTTTGGACAGAGAAAGCAACAAGCACATAAGCAAAATGCTATATCGTATGACATCATCCCTAGAGAAATTCCAGTTTCCTCTTTTCACTAAAAGAGTGTCATTTCCTCTACCATAAATGCTGCTGATTGTGACTGACGAATATAAATATTTTTATGGATCAAAACAAAAAAAAAAGGGAAAAGGGAGAAAAGAGAAGTGTTTTGAAGGTGAAAACCCAATTGTTTTCCGATTCTCTGTAATTATTTTGATCATGTCTTTATTTTTTCTGTTTTCTTTTTTTGTTGTTTCTATTAGACTTGGCCAGGCAAAAAATATTCGTGGTATTCATGTACTTTATCTTCCTTCGCTCCTATTCCTTTATACTGCTGTTCCTGATACAGCTATCCTTTCCATGCTGTACTATGGCTTGGCCGGTGTGGTTGTCAGTGCCATTTCAGACACCACAGGAAAAGAAGGAAGCTGCACACTCCACATTCACGTTTGAGCAAAAGTATCGAAACCCTGGATTGCCACCTCTATCCCTCGTGAGACGCAAAGCTAATACCCATTCCAATCGTCACGTGATGCAACTATTGGATGAGCTTGAGGCCAAGAGTCGGGTGAGCACCTGCTGGAAAAATGCTATTGAATCGCTCAAGGAAGGATGTGGATCACTTCGCACAGACGATGGTGCACGCAGTCGTTTGGCTCTAAGGATGGCATCATGCGACGGCGAATCCGACGGGGGTCACCGTTCGTGGCCGCGTTGCTCTATCGACCGTGATAGTGATATACGGCAGTGTGTACAACATCTGGGGGACGCGCAGTACCTCGTATATGCGCAGTATCGACTACATACTGATGTCTTGTGTCTTTACATTCAAGAAGAGGTCTTTCAGGAGCGGACAGAAGCTGTTGTGAAGACGCTCTATGCGGGTGCAGCTGCAGCATCAGAGACCCTCCAGTCGCTTCGGGACTCCAGCGATGAGCTGCTGGGGTCTGTGGAAGAGGCAACAAGACAGCAGAAAAGTAACTTTATCGAAACACAGCGACTCTATGGCCAACTGCAAGAATTACGAGATGGTCAATCAAAGGCGTTTGAGTCCTTAAGGGAATCTACGGAACGAGTTATGCAGTCCGTGACAGATGCAGGCTTGAGTTTAAGTCGAATGCATGTAGCACTTGATGAAGGTGCTGCTCACGCTGCAGCTGCTGTGAAGGAGATTACACGTGAGACAGCGGCGTTTCAGAGCCGTACTGAGGCTTATGCATCCAACATGCTGCAAGTGCTGGAACGTGTTGAGGGATTTCAGCAGTCGTTGGTGGAGGGAACGATGGGTATCGGTGCAATGTTTCACTGTGCCATACTCCTCCTTATCCTTTTGTTGTTCACCATTCCTGCACGTACAGCCGCTGCGAGACTGCCCTGCATTGCTGTAGTTTGTGTGGCCTATGCAATTCGACCATTTCTCCCCCGAACACTGAACTATGCGCTGGGGGCTACTGGCGGTAACAGCAATAATAACAATAACAACAGTAACAATATCTTCTTTGTTTTCGTGACACTTGTTGTTGGAGCAACTCTCTTATTTTTTGCGTATACCTATCGTTCTCCCGACCAGGCACTGCGACTTGTGCTGCGATGCGAAATGCGTCGTGTGTTAGAAGACACGAGAGGATCCATGCTTGAGGATGTTCGCCAGACAGTTATCGAAGGTGTTACCGAAGCAATGCCACGTGTGGGTGGCTTTGCAGGATCACATCAGCAACAGCGGCGCGAAGAGAGTGCGAGATTGCTTGTCTCTTCTATGAGTAACAAGGAGGAAGCAGAATTGGGGGTGGAAGAGGAAGAAAATGGGGTGCGCACACCACCAACGGTAAAGAAACCACGACGTAGAAAATCCAGTTGAAGTTGTTCAGTTATGTAATATGGTGAATACATGGGGGAGTACCGCATGTATGAATTTTTGTTTTATTCTTTACGAGTTATTGTTTGTTCCTTTATTTATTTATTTATTTTACTCGTATCTTGTTCTGTTTCGATTGGTACTTACTATTGTTTCTATCATCAGTGAAAATATGAACCTCCTGCAGGTGATTTCCGGGAAAGGTCATTTTACGAGGTGGCACAAACATTTGACAAATTAATTTGGGTATATTTTCTTTTTTTCTTTTTGTTTCTTCACATGTGTGTTTTGCTTTTGCTTTGTGTTCATATGTGGTGTGGTGTTTATGTACACTTGCTACTTATTTGTATTTTAGCTGCATCCATTCTTACGACCTCTCTTTCTTTCTCTTTTCTCAGGAGCATAGCCCGGGATGTCCATGGCACTCGCAGCTGCGCGGCAGCGGGCGGAGGAGGAGCTGCTGGGGTGGGCGTACATCACAAACCAACTGCTCCTCGAGAATGCGCTGGCGGCGCTGGCGGACGTTGAGGAACCCGCGCGGCGGGCGGCGCTGGAGGTTGAGTACGCCGCTGGTCTCGCCGCACTGCTGCGCGCGGAGTGGACGGCAACACAGCAGCAACTTCAGGACGCACGTAATAGCATCCAGCAGATCGCTAACGTTATTGCACACCATCGCGATGGACAGGTGGCACACGGGGTGTGTGCAGACGCTGAGCCACCAGCGGTGAGTCTCCGTCGCCTCCTAGACGATTTCACTGCATTTGCTGAGGCTACACAGCAAAAACTACTACAACAAGAACGATTACAACAACAACAACAACAACAACAAGAACGATTGCAACAACAACAACAGCAAGAACGATTACAACAACAACAAGAACGATTGCAACAACAAGAACAACAACAACAACAGGATGAAACAGTGTCTCTGCACGGCAACGTGCAAACGCTATACACACGCATTTTGCCTCCTCCTCCTGTGAATCCCACAGCGCGAACGCTTCTCAGTGTTCGCGATCAAGTGCGGGAGCTTCGGCCGGAAACAGGAGTTTCACCCTACGGCATCGTACATACACCGCGACTACAAAAGTATCAACATAATCAAGAAATTCGCGAAAAGGGCGAGTATACACCACATCTAACGGCATCACCACTGCACACTTTGTACACGTTGCAGACATCTCCGTCGGCAGTACGGCATCATACACCTCATTCTGGCACACAGGATAGTGTGTCATCAGCAGCACTTGCATGGAGGGAACGCATGACATCATTACAGGCAGGTTTGCGAGACCTCAAACGTGAGCTTGGGAATTAGTTCTTGTATTACACTACGATACACTACCCTTTTGTTTCCCCACATGTTGCTTCCTTTCTTCCTTTTCCCATTTATATATCTGCATATTTATCGATGTCTCTTGTTCTTATCTCATTTCCACAGATTTCTGAGTTAGTGTCACATTGTTTTTTTTTTTTTCTTTTTATTTTTCTTCTGCTTTATTTGTTTATTATTTGGCGAAGACCGATAGGTGTGAGCAAAAAGAAAAAGAAAAAGAGCGGAGAAGTATGGCGCAGACGTCAATGATTGTGGAATCTAATGCGGGTCTGCGGGAGCTAGTGCCATCACGTACACACGTCTGTCTTCCAGGAGACCCTGTGCTGTTGCTGGAGCCAACTGCGATTGTGACACTTGGAAATGGCCTTCGACCTCTTCCACAGGATCCTGTCAGCAGCAATAGCAACAACGAAGGCGCTGTAGAAGGAACTAACACCTTTGTTTCCGCGGAGTTTTGTGGGCCAGTATCATGTAGCGTTGGACCAAATCATGTGCGTCGCTACACAATTGATCCCCCTGCGGCTCGTCGGTATACCTACGTCCCCAAGGACCCGGTTGTGGCGATTGTAATGAAGAAAACGACGAATTACTACTTGTGCTATACCGGTGCTCCATCTCTTGCAGTGCTTGATGCCCTGAGCTTTGACGGGGCGACCAAGTCCAGTCGTCCGCGGCTACAAGAGGGCGACGTTGTGTACGCATTTGTGCGGCCGCAGCGGAGTGAAACTATAACTACTACAACAATGGGTGGACCAGTGGAGACTGCAGGGGATGAGGTGGAGCTGAGCTGTATGGCCGGCGAAGTTGGTCTCGTCGCGCGCGACTGGACTTCCGCTGACGCGACATTCGGTCCGCTCAGCGGAGGCACTGTCGTTCGTGTGCCGTTGCCGTATGCACGGAGTCTTCTTGCCGCAGATGGTGCCTCACGTCTTCTCGCGCTCTTGGGAGACCGCGTGCCGTTTGAGGTATGCATTGGTGCGAACGGTCTCGTGTGGGTCTGCGGTCAACGGAGTGAGAATGACGCCACTGCGGCTGTGCGGCGCACCGTTGCGGTGGCCGCCTGCATTGTTGAAGCGCAGGACGATGTCACCGTTGCCGAGATGGAGGCACGCGTACAGAGCTACTTCCCAAACGAGTAACTAAAGTAACGCAATTATCAGAGAGTGGTGTTTCTTCGACTATTCTTATTTTTTGAAGTTACTATACTGCTGCTGCTGCTAGTACTACTACTACTACTACTACTACTACTACTACTACTACTACTACTACTTTTATTGTTATTGTTGGTGTTGGTGTTGGTGTTGCGGTCTTTGCGTGATCACCAATCATCTTGATTGCTGTGCTTCTGTTAATTGCTTCTTGTTTTGTTATAACTTTTTTTTTCAATGTTTTTTTTTCTACAATATATATGTATGTGTTAATCTTTGGATGCATGTTACCATATCTATTTAGGGGTAAAGAAAAAAGAACTAAAATAGGAGTCACGTGGTGTTGTTGTTAGTCTCTTTGAGAAGTGACTGTACGGCGCCATCAGCACGAATGCCTGATTATACGCAGTTCGTCAAGTACTTTAATGAGTACCCAAACATTCCACAAAATGAGTGCCCTGCGTACAGTCGTCTCGCGGACACCACGTGGCGTTTACTGACCGCTTCTGATAAAGAGGGTGTTGGGGCAAAATCAGCTGCGTCGGCAACAGCAGCACCAACACCTGCATGCCCCTCCATCGTGATTGGGCGGCTGCTCGTCTCGACAGAAGACCGCTGGCGTATTCAAGCGCACATGCGCCGTGAGGAGGCGAAGGCAGGAGCTGGTCGAAAAGAGTACAACAAGAAAGTGACCCGCGCTACAAAGACCACGAAGGGACCAGATTCTGGAGAAGGATTTCCTCCAGGGCGAGGTCGCCCTGTATGATATAATCACTTCCTATGATATCACTTTTTTTTAATATTGTTCTTTGTACGTCTGTGTTTTCTGTTATTTGCGCAGTGGTTAGTTACCCTCTTCGTCTTTTTATGCTGATGCTTTCTTTTGGGTCTTTTCCTTGTTCCACGACGTAAGGGCTCCGATAAAACGAAAAGAAAAAATATAAGAAATTTAAAATAGTGAGAAAAAAGGGAAAAAGGTATATATATATATATATATATATAGGGCTAAAAGTGAGTGAGTTGATTGTTGGTCAAACGATATGTTGCAGACTTCCATGGAGGTTTCAGGCATCTCCTCACCCAGTGAACCCGAGAGAGATATGATGAAGCACCACCAAGACAGAATGATTTCTGCTACGCTGCATTCAGCATACGATCAAGGTGAAGTCAATTGTCCCAGGAGCAGAGGTAGTAACAGCAGTAGTAGTGGTGGTAGCAGCAGCAACAAGGAACCAGTGGGGTGTGGAGTTCCACCACTCTCTCCTGCAAGTCTTGGAAGTCCCCTTACAAGACAACCGGAAGCCACAGTGCTGGAGGCTGCACAGGAGCAGCGTCTTATCGAACTATTGCATAAGGCCTCTCAAACCATTAAGGAGGAGCGCGCGCGATCAGCAGCGCTGCGTCAGGAACTTGAGGAGCTGAGACAATCGACTGCAACATTGTCCACCATGCAAAAACTGCAGCAAGAGAACCAACAACTTAGAAAGCAGTTGGCATCCATGAACAGGCAACTCGAACTGAGTCAGTCACATAATCCTCAAACAAAGCAGAAGGATGGAGAAAAGGAGCGAGAAGAACAACAACAATCTGGGAAAAGCAGATCACTTTCTGCGAGCCGGGGTGATAGCACGTCGTCCAAGCGCTCATCTGTGAAGGCGCCTCTCACGCCTTTAGCTACAAACACGGGTACATACATGAAGAAAAGCTACAGCGACGTGGAGCACACAAAACAGCGGGCAATGTCTTTGCAGCGTCACTCTCAACTTTCCCAAAGTGATGGCTCTCGGAGTCATAGCATGACAGGGACACAAACGCAAAAACAACAACAACAAGAGGAAAAACAACAACAACAACGTTCTCCTTCTGCTTTTAAATGTGCCTCACAGCCGACTGTCCCGAAAACGGTTTCTTCTTCTTTTCGTGATGATGATAATTATAATTATAATGATAATGCTACTAATGACCATGCTGTTAGCAACAACAAGTGGCACTCTGTTGTCCCTCGCAATGGCGAGACGACGTACAATTCAGAAATGATTACTCGATTACGACGTGCATTGGCCCCGCCACCCACGAAGGAACAACTGGGTGAAGTCATTCACGCAATGGTACAGGAGATTGTTCGTGATACACGTCGACGAGGGCTCGATTTGTACATGAAGCGTCAAGCTCCTTGCGTGTATCAATGCACATTTGGTAACGATAATACTCAGAAGGGAAAGGGAGTTGCGGCACGTGTGGTACACTTATCGATTGACAGCGGACGACTCACTGTGAAAATGGGTGGTGGACACGTGAATTTTCTAGATTACTTGGAGCGGAATCGTTTGTTACTCTCAGTATATAGACTTTAGAAAAGGGGAAAAAAAAGAGGTGATTATTCTATTTTGTGTATGTAGATAATTATTTATAGAGATATTTCTACTACTTCTTTGTTTGTGTGTTTGTTTGTTTGTTTGTGTGTGTGTGTGTAGAAACCATTTTTCGTAGACTTTCTTTGTGTATATGTCTCTTAATACTTTCTTCTATTCTTCTGTCCCAGTATATTTTTTTTCGTATTTCTTTGGAATAGATAGGGGATTGTTTATAAAAGGGAAAAATAAACATATATAAGGTAGATATAGTAGTCTGGAGGAAGTGGAGACGGTAATAAACACCGTGAAAAGAAACTCTTTTGCAGCGCAATGTCTTCTGTAAATGAGACTTCAGAAGTTGTGGGATCTACTACGGATTCTTTGTGGCTTATTATTGGATTAACTGGTGCTGGTCTCCTTATTCTTATTCTCATTGCGGTTATCGTCGGGACGTACTATTGCCTAGTGAGGCGACGTCAACGCACTGGAAGCAATAGATTTCTGCAGCAGACACGATACCATTCAAGAGATAATTCGCGCCCGACTACGCCAAGAGGCAGTGTATCCTACCAGATTCCCCCTTCACAGAAAGGCTTGCGGCGTCAAGGATCGATGGGAGTGGAAAACAACTCCAATGTCTTTCTTGCCCCAAATATGGGGCCCGGGAGTGCACAGCGGCAATTAAGCGCATCGCGGAAATGTTCGCAACAACAGCCTGGCAATTATTACTCGGCCAACGAGCAACCGCAGAATGGGTGGCCGAATTATGTTCCTCAGGGATATGGTGCAGTACCTCAGCAACTGCCAAATGATCAATGGGCCATGAACGGTCCGTATGCCTACCCAAATCCCCTACACGAACGAGGTATATATCAAAATGATAATGATAATAGCGAAAACGTGGTGCCCATGCAAATTGTGCCCCCAGCTCAACCTCCAGTCTCTCAACAGCAGCATCAGGATGATGATGATGAGAGTCAACCAAGGCTACAGCGGCGGAATTCACGTGTTTCGTTTGTGGGAGTTTTTGAAGTGTAGGAGTGATATTATCAACTGTGACAATAAGCTTTACTTTTTTATTTTGTTTTATATTTTTTCTTTACATCTGACATATCCTCATCCAGTGTTGAAGAAGGAGTGTGGGTCAATTAATATAGAAACGGTGGATAGAAACAGAGGGAGCACCCATTAATACCGGGTCAAGAATATTTTGGTGGATTGACGTGCCTTCAACCCTTTTTGTAATGACCTTCTTTGTTTTTTATTTTTATTTTTCTAATTTCTTTCTTTCTTTTAATTCTCTTCCGCAAACCACCCTTATGATATTCAGTAAGGCTTCGGATTCCTTATAGTAAGGTAGAGCCCTACATATGCTATTCTGCTTCTATTAGGCATTGTTTCTGCTTTCTGAATTGTCATTAAAAAGATAGAGATAATGCGAAGACTTTTTTGCGACCTAAACCTGTCATTTCCCCTTTTTTATTATAATATATGTGTATACTTTATTGTTTTAGTATAAAAGCAGGAAATGAATCTGATTTTAGAGAATAGAGAAAAGGGAGATGTTTTGTATTTTTTTTTTTTGTTGTTGTTGTTTTGATTTTTTAAGTATGTGAACTTGATTATTTTCTCTTATCTTCATGAAGGTATACTCGGTTGTTATTGGATAAATATCAGGGTGTACTATTTGAGATGTTTTTTTTTTTTTTGAGTTTTCTTTGGAGAGGGCCAAACAGGAAACCCTTATTTTTTTCCTCTTGATCTTTCTCTGCCGTTATATGTAGAAGTAAAAGAGACGAGGGCCTGTCTTTTCTTTGATTTTATTTTTTTATTTTTGTGTATTTCTCTCTCTCTCTCTCTCTATGTGTCTATGTGTTTATGTGCCACCCATTTTCTGTGCTGTTACTTCTTTTTATAATGTTTCGGCAATATCTCTTGTTTTTTGTTTTTGTTTTTGTTTTTTTCTTTATCTATCTTTTTCTACCGGATTTTATTTCATTTTTTTTTTTTTTTTTTGCATAAATTCTCTATTCTTGTTTATTTGCCGTCCAGCTGGGATTGCTGAGTTAACGGCCGATCTATCTCACCGGTGCTTCCTCCCCACATCTCTCTCATACTTTCAGATCGGTCAAAAACACACTGACACAGAAACATACTATTATATTGAGGTAAAGGAGATCAAAAGAAAATCGATCAGAAATAAAAGAAGAGTCACTTTACAAATTAAAATAAAGAAAGAATGCAAAACGAAGGAAAAACAGGAACAACCGACAGTAATTCTACTATGCTCAAAACACTCACATACAATGGACCGGTTCCGAGGCCACATCCGCCCTGTACGGACCCCACACCTGATGAGCAGTACCGTCAGTACACGGAACAAAAGATGCAAGAGTTGGAACAACGTCAGGAACAACAACGTCAGATGGAGGGAGCTCCAGCAAGCAATAATGACAACAACAACAATAATAATATTGGTGCTATGTTTTCAAATGCTGCTGTAAATTTTCGAAATATGGCGCAACAAATGGCATTCAAAGTGGAGCGCGCAAGTACTGAAGTAACAAACGTAACCGCAAGTCGAGTGCGACAACTGGATCGGCAACTAAGTCTTGACCGCTTCAAGAACAATTTCCCAGAGCTGACTGCAATGGGTGAGGTGCTTCTTGCTGACTACTCATGTGCCGCAATGCACGCTGGGGTGCGTGTGAATGGGCATCTGCACATCACCAAGAATTACGTCTGTTTCAGCGCACAAACAACTTCTACGCTTGCGCAGGCAACCAATACAGTATTGAAGGAAGCTGGTCTTTCTGCTGGAGATGGATCCCCAACTGGCATTCGTCAGGTTATTCCACTTACCGAGATTGCCAGCATTCAACTCTCTGTTGCCCTTGAGACGATTGATCAAGGCCCACCATTCTTTCTTCCTATCCCCGCCCCCAACGTACTCCCCACGAGCCTGCAGTTGTACACAACACGACAGCAATTATTTCAGTTTCTTGATTTTGAGAGTGTGGTGGCCAAAGCTGGGGCTGTCTTATCAGATGCCGTGAAAGGACGTCCTATTGACCGCGCGTACAACTACCTTGATCATGCTTGGCGTGATGCAACAAGTGTTCCTCTTCCAGGTGTTACTTATGTGAGTTAAACCAACCCATTAACCTATCACTCACCTGTGCATATGTTCGTTTCGATGATAGTACAGGGAAGGAAATATATATATATATATATATATATATATATATA